AGGGGAGGGGAGGGGAGGAGAGAGTAGACCAGAATCTCCTATCCAGCAAAAATATTATTCAGAAATGGAAGGGAAATCAAACCACCCTTAAACAAGAAAACTCATCACCCTGAAAAGAAAATGAATACAAAAGTTTCCTCCAAATGATGTAACAACAAAAGAAGGGCTCTATAAAAACTAGGAAGAAGAAATGGACACAAAGGAAGTGAACATGTGAGCCAATAAAAAAGGCCTATCTTCCCTTGTGTAACTTTTCTAAGTTAACTCTGATGTACTGTGACTTGAAGGCAGGAAAATCAGGTGTTCAAGGTCACCTTTAGCCACATAATGAGTTCAAGGCCTGCCTGAACTAGATGAGACCATGCCTTAAAATAGATACATAGATAGACGGACAAACAAATAAATAAATAGATAACAAATAAATAATATTTAAAATAAACATTTTTGTTTATATTTATATTTATATAGGGAGTGAAAATTATCAACATTGTCTGGTATGGCTCTCAAACTATGCAGATGAACTATTTAGGGCAATTAAACACCGATTGGGTAGGTTAACTTAAAATAAGGTTTCTACTTGTCACCTGAATTGGGAAATCGAAGAAGCCCAAGTAAGTGACAGATTATGTGCATCTGGTGATGATCAAACCATGAACTATCTTGGTTGCAGTATTGGTCACTGCAGTCTATAGGTGATAAAATGGCATAGAAGCATATACACACAATACCTGTGTCAGTGTTAATAATTGTAAAAATAGATTCACTGGGTTGGCAAAATTGCTCAGCCAGGAAAGGGGCTTTGCCACCAAACCAGATAAAGCCAAAATGGATTCTTGGAACCTACTGGGTGGAAGGAGAGGATCGTTTCTCACAGGATGTCTTCTGACCTCCCTATACATATTGGAAAGTGGGGGAGTTTGGATATGACTTCTTTGGATATGATTCCTAAGCTCTCTAAAGAGGAGACCTAAATACTGTCATGGGCCACTTACAGCCCAAAACACAGGGCATTTTTAAAAATACTGCATTAAGGTAGCTGTTACAGAATCCACACTGTGCAAGATCTCCTTAAGCATTTCTAAGAGTCCCTACAGGTATCTCAGAGTTAGCCCATATAGGTCCCACACAGCATCATAGACTATGACTCTACCCACATCCCCACATGAAAGGTCTGTCCACTAAGCACTGTGTCATCATAGTATGGCCACTTGGTCCTGTGGAAAACCTGGGCCTGATGCTTCTCGAATGTGCTCAATGGATTCTTTGGGGTTTTGCCTTTTGATACCAGGTAGCCTGGGCTGGCCGTGATCTTGATATGTAGTAGAAGCTGATCTGGAGTTATATCCGCATCTACTTTTCTAGGGCTGGAATTATAGGTGTGAACCATCATTCCCAGCTCTGAAGGTTTGTGTTTTGTATTTTGTTTGGGGTTTTCATTTCGTTTAGACTTACAGCTGCCTTGGAACTCACCTGTGACCCAAGCTGGCCTCAACTTTCTGACAGTCCCCTTGCCTTAGTCTCCCAAGTCCTGAGGTCATTTCCATTTTAATCATGCTTCTTTGCTCTGTGGTTTGGGGTTTAGTGCAGATAGCCTGCAGTCCAGTTTTCCTGTATCCCAGACATAACTTTCCTGTTTGTCTGGATTACTTGTAGCTAAGTATCATAGTGTTGAATTCTGTGTATGACACAGACACAGTGTTTTGATGGTAGCTTCAGCCAGGAGAAGCGACACCAAACGGTACAACCCAAGAAGAAATCCTAAGTTAAGTATGATTGCCGATAAGAGAATTTTCAGGTTCAACTCAGCATAAGGATGCTCCCTCCCACAAAAGCCAAGGGGCTCAGCCACATCCCTCTACCACGGCAACAAAAAAAGAATCTTTGTTCAGAACTACACTGTATCCTAACCAGATGTATTTGTAGACACTGTGCAAACTAAGGAACGCAATGGCACACTCACTATGGTTGATAGGCATTTAATCTTGGAAAGAGGCAAAGTCAGAGAACTCTGCAAATAATGTATCAGCACTGAGTGACTGTAAGAGGAGAACCTGGCACAAAGGAAAGCATTCTCCTGGACGTCAGATCAATATAGACTACAGAATAAGGTAACAGAAGAGAAGAGAACTAAAAGGTGGGTTTTCACACATTTGTCTCTTCTGATCTCATTGAGTATGCTGGTTGGGAGTTTCATGGGGAAACTACCACCATCTGAGCTGCTCCAGCACATACAGCTGTTTATGATCACGTGACTCACTTGTGTAAGCCTTCCAACTCAGTCCTCAGGTGTGATTGGGTGAGTGAGTTACAGTAACTTGAAAGATTGCCTTGCCCACCACCCGTCAGTGGACAGCTTAGCATCCATATCATTCCAGTGAGACTTTAAATAATTTAAGGAGAAACTATGAGTCTGTATGAACATGAACACTGAATGATGCACTTAGAACAAGACACTGTGGGCTTTCAGGCAGGTGAAGGCTAGACCAATGAGTTAGAGAGAAGGCTATCCCTGTGCTATATCGAATTGAATCAGTGAGCACTTAGGAAGAATCAATGCTGTACTTATTTTTTTTCTTTTTTAATGATCTGGAGTCATCTTCTGCTTCCAGCTATAGTTGAGACTAGATTGGTCCTCCTCTCAAAGGCATCTGCAAAACTGCACAAAATAGGTAACTGTTTTCAGGGCAGCAAAGGCATAGGGTCTCTGAGAGGTAGGGAGCAGGGCGCTCTGTCATTTCCTGGGGGTGGGGGGTAGGGGTGGGGGTGGGGAATTCCACAGTCATGACTTAGGATGGCAAGTCTCAAGGAGGGAGGAGAGAGGGAGTAAGGGAGGGGAGGAAAGGAAGGAGAGGGGAGAAGGGGAGGGGGAGAGACCCACTGAGCAGAGGCATAGAGGAGTCACGTTTGTGAGCCACTGAAACATAGCTTGCAGCAGAGGGTACCAAAGTGAACAGAGCTGCACAGAAGGAAGGGGCCCGGATCCTTCCAGATTCCTGGTCAACCGGCAGGCTGAGTGTGTCCTGGTAGAAACTACACAGTGTAGCTTAAAGTAAGCACTACAGGGTTGAAAGAAAAAGGCAACAGTAGAGGTCTTAGAGCCCCTAACTGTGATCTCCAGTGAGTCCAGTGCTGTTGACTCATGTGTTTCAGTGCTGTGTTATTAGGTACACATATGCTGAGTTTGCTGTGTCTTCCTAAAGTATGGACTCTTTGAGAAATATGGTAATGTAGTGTTACAGGACACAGATTCATGACCTCAAATTCCTGCATTCTAGGAAAAAAAATTAGGAAACAGAAACTAGAGAAAGGAATGGATTTATTTGCAGTTTGATCAAACAAGGGGGAAAGAGTCTAATTTCTCTCTCCTGTGCTGTGTTAGTCTTACAACTATAGGAATCTGTGAGCTAAAGGCCAGAAGACAGGTAGGTTCGGTTGTGAGATCAGTTCACTGACTTGTGGGGAAGGTGACTGGCCTTAAACTGTCTCCAACGCCTCTGCTCTCAGCCTGGAGAGTCTGTTACATTCTATAAGTTATGCTGTCATAGATTTTTATTTAAATCCAGGCTTGAGAAAAATGGGGTAGACATCCCATTTTAAAGATGCCCCCACTCCATCCTCTAATTTTCAAAGGAGAGAGCTAAAGGAACCTTACGGGTCATGAGAGAGGACAGGCCATCTGTTTGTCTGCACGCCTAGCAGAGCTGTCTACCAATCCATCCTTCGATACGTGAGTGTAGGGCAGAAACCTTGAAAAAATTTCCTCAGCACCCAGCTTCAAGCTCCAATTCCTGTCTACCTGTTCAACATGCAGTAGTCTGGTAGCAAGAGGAGGGGACGCATGCACCTCTTAGCACTGAGAGTAGCTGGCCTCCCTGTCTGGCCAAGAAGTCAGCCCATTTTCCCCCAACAAGACATCAGCTAACAGTAGCAGTGTAAAGTACAAAGCTAAGCTCTCCACATGTGGCTGTGGTGGTAAAGAATGCCTGTAATCCAGCTAACTGGGAGGATGAGGCAGGGCAATGGCAAGTTTGAAGTCACACCCATATATTCAGGCCTAAAGCCTGATTTGTGGCTATTTTAACATTCTTTTCTTTGAAAATATTTCTCTATAGAAAGATGGTCATAAGCCTTCACATTCCCCTCAGCCTAAGCCAACCCTAATAACCTCCCAAATCCCCTTTAGAAGATCAGCAATTACAACCTCCCTTTCTGCCCCTTTGAGAAGACAGAATTCTCCTCTCTGCCTCCTGCCAGCTTTACAAGGGAGCAGAACCTGGGAGCCATCTTTTAAGTGTTATCCTCAAAGGAGACAGAAGCCCTCCCCTGGCTTCTGATGGTAGGGAAGATACTCCCAGAGGCAGACACTCCCCTGCCACACAAACAGATCTAGTTGTCCTTTGAACAAGCATGTCTATAGCCCTGCACACAACCCAGGTGGCCTCACACACTTGAAAGCTTCCCTCCCGGCCTGCCCCAACCTTCCGCTGAGTGGTGTAGAGTCCAGACTTCGCTCTGCTCGCTCCTTTACCAAACAGTCCCCTGTCCTCCCCTGCAGCATCTTTCCAGGTAAAAGCCTTGGCTTACTATGTCTGGAATGTTTCTCTTAAATGCCCTCCACCTTCCTAACTGACAATTCTCATCCTCTTGGACCTCTTCTTTTGCAGGGGAGGGTTCCTCAAATACACTTTGTGCTCCACCACGCCTCCTGTGCACTCCGTAGCCTTCTAGGATGTAAACCTGACAGGCTTTGTCCATGCGTCCTTCACTTTCCCCTGGAACAAGCCACTGGTGTCACAGAGATTCATCAGCTACATACGGAGCTACATTTTAGTCCTTGTTATCATTCCTCCCCTCTCCCTCTCCCTCTCCCTCTCCCTCTCCCTCTCCCTCTCCCTCCCCCCTCTTTCTTTCTCTCTCCCTCTCTCCCTTTCAGAAACAGCAGCTGCCAGTTTGTTCTTGTAGTTCTGCTTACGGGACCTAAGCTTTGCACAACTAGATAAGAACTCCACCACCCCAAACCCTTTACATTTTGTTTTATGTTTAAGTGTTAAGTGACCACGTGGGTGCTGGAGTGTGAGCCAGGGTCCTCTTCACGAACAGCATGCACTTGTAACCACAAAGCCATCTCTCCACCACCATCCCAGCTCTTTTTAGATTTTAGCTTAAAACGGGGTCTCAATCAGTGGCCAAGCTGGTGCTGAGCTTGAAATCTTCCTGTGTCAGTCTCCCAAGGCCTGAAGCATCACACCCAGCACAGTGCCTGTTTTGTTAAGTCAGGAAACAATTCTAAGGACAGTACTCACTACTGAAAGAACTAAAGCTCACGCTGACCTAAGGCTTCTCTGACCAAGGTTTAGAGTGCACTAATATATGGGTATAACAGAAATGTATAGAAGGCAGTTAGACAAAATGAGCACTTAACATAAAACAGTAGTAGGTTCCCCACCAGGGCCTCTGATTCACCCATGAACTTCTAAACAGGTTACAGTATTAGGCATGAATCCTGTCCTGCAGACTAGGCCTCAAACCCAACTAGAAACTAGTTGGTTACCACCTTAACAGCCATGCCACTACTGGACCAGAGGATTTATCGTTTCTAGCAGGCTGGTATTAGAGCATGCAGGGTCTAGCACTGGGTAAGACCACTGATCTTTCCCCCCCTGGAAGCTGCATAGCACCTTCGAGCACTATGAATACTAACCTGTAGGGAAGACGCTTCTCTGTCAGTTAAAGACTGACTTTCATACTCCTATAACCAGTGTCTGGTGTCTTCAGCAGTAAGATCTTATCATCTAGTTATGTGGGTAACCAAGCAACTGTAGCATTTCAAATGCATTATCTCGTTCAGTTCCGCATCAGGATGTAGTTACTGTATTTGCCCCATTTTACAGACAAGGAAATCAAGGCTGGGAAAGAAAGACTGGTGGACTTGTCCAATTTTTACAGCAAGGGTGCACTAAAATTCATACTTTTCTACATTAAAATTTAATATACAAAATGATGGACTTCATCGGAAAACTCTCACATGGATCCTTTATCTTCCTCCCTTTCACTCTCCCCGCCTCCCCCGCCCTCCGCCCTGCGGGTCTGCTTCTGTGTACCTTGCCCCCACCCCTAATAGCAGCTCATACTTGTAATCTTAGCACCGAGGACGCTGTGGCAGGAAAACTGCTCCAAGTTCAAGGCTAGCCTGGTCTACGCAGTGAATTCCAGGCCATCCTAAGCTATAGAGTGAGACTCTGCACACAAAAAAGGCCCGGTAACTTGATGTAGCAGTAAAGGAGCTTGCTGCTAAGACACATATCTGACCTGAGTTTGATCTCGAGATCGACACGGTGGAAAAAAAAGAACCAATTTCTGCATATTGTTCTCTAATCTCTACATGCA